GCAGTTGTAAATGGGATTGACTCCTTAATTTCTCTTTCTTCGGTGCAATTGTAAATGGGATTGACTCCTTAATTTCTCTTTCTTCAGTTTCGTGGTTAGTGTATAGAAATGCCATTGATTTCTGGGCATTGATTTTGTATCCTGCCACACTGCCAAATTGCTGTATGAGTTCTGACAATCTTGGGGTGGAGTCTTTTTGGGTTTTCTACGTACAGTATCATGTCGTCTGCAAAGGGAGAGTTTGACTTCTTTGCCAATTTGAATGCCTTTTATTTCTTTTTGTTGCTGAGGCTAGGACTTCTAGTACTATGTTGAATAGCAGCGGTGAGAGTGGACATCCCTGTCATGTTCCTGATCTTAGGGGAGCTCCCAGTGTTTCCCCATTGAGAATGATATTTGCTGTGGGCTTTTCATAGATGGCTTTTAAGATGTTGAGAAATGGTCCCTCTATCCCAATACTCTGGAGAGTTTTGATCAGGAACAGATGCTGTATTTTGTCAAATGCTTTCTCTGTATCTAATGAGAGGATCATATGGTTCTTGTTTTTTCTCTTGTGGATATGATCTATCACATTGCTTGCTTTACAAATGTTGAACCAGCCTTGCATCCCGGGGATAAATCCCATTTGGTCATGGTCAATAATCATAATGTACTGATGGATCCTACTGGCTAGTATCTTGTTGAGAATTTTTGCATCTGTGTTCATCAGGGATATTGGTCTATAATTCTCCTTTTTGGTGGAGGCTTTGTCTGGTTTTGGAATTAAGGTAATGCTGGCCTCATATAGCAAGTTTGGAACTATTCCATCCCTTTCTATATTTTGGAACAGCTTTAATAGAATAGGTATTGTTTCTTCTTTAAACGTTTGATTGAATTCCCCTGGGAAGCCATCTGGCCCTGGACTTTTGTGTCATGGGAGGTTTTTGATGACTGCTTCAATTTCCTCCCTGGTTATTGGCCTGTTCAGGTTTTTATTTCTTCCTGCTCCAGTTTTGGTAGTTTGTGGTTTTCCAGAAATGCATCCATTTCCTCTAGATTGCCTAATTTATTGGCTTATAGCTGCTCATAATATGCTTTTAAAATCGTTTGTATCTCCTTGGTATTGGTTGTGATCCTTCCTTTTTCATTTGTGATTTTATTAATTTGAGTCTCTTTTGTTTTTGATAAAGCTGGCTAATGGTTTATCTATCTTATTAATTTTTTCAAAGAACCAACTCCTGGTTTTGTTGATCTCTTCTATAGTTCTTCTGGTCTCTATTTCATTGAGTTCTGCTCGAATCTTTTATTAACTCTCTTCTTCTGCTGGGTTTAGGTCTTATTTGCTGTTCTTTCTCCAGTTCCTTTAGGTACAAGGTTAGCTTGTGTATTTGAGTTTTTTCCAATTTTTTGAGGGAAGCTTGTATTGCGATAGATTTCCCTCTTAGGACTGCTTTTGCTGTATCCCAAAGATTTTGAACGGTTGTATCTTCATTCTCATTAGTTTCCATGAATCTTTTTAATTCTCTAATTTCCTGGTTGACCCTTTCATTTTTTAGCAGGATGCTCTTTCACTTCCATGTGTTTGAATTTCTTCCAAATTTCTTCTTGTGATTGAGTTCAAGTTTCAAAGCACTATGATCTGAAAATATGCAGGGGACAATCCTAATCTTTTTGTATCAGTTAAAACCTGATTTTGACCCAGTATATTGTCTATTCTGGAGAAAGTTCCATGTGCACTTGAGAAGAATGTGTATTCAGTTGTGTTTGGATGGAAAGTTCTGGAAATATCTGTGAAATCCATCTGGTCCAGTGTCTAATTTGAAGCTCTTGTTTCTTTGGAGATGTTGTGCTTAGACAAGCTGTCATTTGCAGAAAGCACTGTGTTGAAGTCTCCCAGTAGTAGTGTATTATTATCTAAGTATGTCTTTACTTTGGTTATTAATTGATTGATACACTTGTCAGCTCCCACATTCAGGGCATATATATTGAGGATTGTTAAGTCCTCTTGTTGGATAGATCCCTTAAGTGTGATATAGTGTCCCTCTTCATCTCTTACTACAGTCTTTGGGATAAACTTTAATTTATGTAATATGAGGATGGCTACCCTTGCTTTCTTTTGAGGACCATTTGAATGGTAAATGGTTCTCCAATTTTCATTTTCAGGCTGTAGGTGTCCTTACGTCTAAAATGAGCCTCTTGTAGACAGCAAATAGATGGGTCTTGCTTTTCTATCCAGTCTGAAACCCTGCATCTTTTGATGGGATCATTAAGCCCATTCATGTTCAGAGTTACTATTGAAAGATATGAATTTATAGTGTCATCATAATACCTATTCAGGTATTACCTATTTTCATGGCTTATTTCTTTGGGCTTCCTCTTTCTTTTACAGAGTGCCCCTTAATATTTCTTGCAGAGCTGGTTTGGTGGTCACATATGCTTTCAGTTTCTGCTTATTTTGGAAGCTCTTTATCTCTCCTTCTATTCTGAATGAGAGCCTTGCTGGATAGAGTATGTATTCTTGGCTGCATGTTCTTCTCATGTAGGACCCTGAATATATCCTGGAGCCCTTTCTGGCCTGCCAGGTCTCTGTGGAGAGGTCTCCTGTTAATCTAATATTTCTCCCCATATAAGTTAGGGATCTCTTGTCTCTTGCTGCTTTAAGGATCTTTTCTTTATCTTTGGAATTTGCAAGTTTCACTATTAAATGTCGAGGTGTTTAACGGTTTTTATTGATTTTAGGGGGGGGGACCTCTCTATCTCCTGGGTCTGAATGCCTGTTTCCCTCCCCAAGTTTGGAAGTTCTCAGCTATGGTTTGTTCAAATATGCTTTCTTGTCCTCTGTCCCTTCTGGTGCCCTCTGGAACCCCAATTAAACGTAGATTTTTTTCCTTCTGAGGCTGTCATTTATTTCCCTTAACCTATCCTCATGGTCTTTTAATTGTTTTTCTCTTTTTTCCTCAGCTTCTTTCCTTGCCATCAACTTGTCTTTATGTCACTCTCTTTCTTCTACCTCATTAACCCTCGTTGTTAGGACCTCCAGTTTCAACTGCATCTCATTTAATTGATTTTTAATTTCGGCCTGATTAGATCTAAATTCTGCAGTCATGAAGTCTCTTGAATTCTTTATGTTTTTTTCCCAGAGCCACCAGTAGCTTTATAATTGTGCTTCTGAAACGTTTTTCTGACATCAAATTGTAATCTAAATTCTGTAACTCTGTGGCAGAGAGCACTGTTTCTGATTCTTTTGTGGTGAGTTCTTCCTTCTAGTCATTTTGCTCAGTGCAGAGTGGCTAAAAGCTTGTTGTATTTATTAGAAGCGCAAACTCTTCTCTCTGTAGTGTTCCAGCTTTCTCTCTTTAAATCTCAGGTCGAATTGGTAGGTTTTCAGGATGATTTGAAAGTTACCTAGGTAAGTTGGTGGGGACAGGTGACTTGGGGACCCTACTCCTCCGCCATCTTGCCCTGCCCTCCTGAGCTGAGATCTTTTTTTTTTTTAATTTTTATTTATTTATGATAGTCACACACAGAGAGAGAGAGAGGCAGAGACATAGGCAGAGGGAGAAGCAGGCTCCATGCACCGGGAGCCCGATGTGGGATTCGATCCCGGGTCTCCAGGATCGCGCCCTGGGCCAAAGGCAGGCGCCAAACCGCTGTGCCACCCAGGGATCCCCCTGAGCTGAGATCTTAAAGAAGAATAATGTCTAAGAATTTTTTAACTTCATATATAATAAATAATAGGAAGATGTTATAGTATCTATAGCTGGTTCTGAAAAAAAACTCCCTCAGTAGAAAGGATTGCCTAGGTTTTCTTAGCTCTGAATGTATTTTTAGACACATGCTGTCCAGTGTAGTAGTGACTAGTCATACATGGCTCTCCATCACTTGAAATGTAGCAAGTCCTGATTAAGTCCTGACCTGCAATATACAACACAGGTTTCAAAACTTAATATGAAAAAACAAATACTAGTTTTTATATTAATACATGTTGAGGGATCCCTGGGTGGCGCAGTGGTTTAGCACCTGCCTTTGGCCCAGGGCGCGATCCTGGAGACCCGGGATCGAATCCCACGTCGGGCTCTCAGTGCATGGAGCCTGCTTCTCCCTCTGCCTGTGTCTCTGCCTCTCTCTCTCTCTCTGTGTGTGACTATCATAAAATATATATGTATATATTTTTAAAAAACTACATGTTGAAATGGTAATAACGTTGGCTGTAGTCACTTTTTTAAACTCTTCTCCATTCCTGGGTTGATTGCACCCTCTTTTTACTTGCAGAGGTCATGACTGATGCAACATCAGAATGAAGTATACTTTAAAAAACTTTTATTTATATTGCATTTTTTATATTTCTTATTAATTTAAGAATTGGGTAAGGTGAAAATTTTCTCTCTCCCTCTCCCTGTCTCTCTCTCTCTCTCACACTCACACACACACACACACACACACACACACACACACACACACACACATACAGCCTACTTAAGTAATATCATTCTTTTGGCTACATAAGTAACTATTTCTGATATTTCCCCCTTATGGGTTCATAGAAAAAAGTTTCCTACCTTCTAAAGAAATGGTGGAACCAAGTTTAAGTGAATGGCCAGGAAGGAATGATAATCATTAATAACCAGTGGCCAATATTAAAAACAGTTGACAGTGACCCATTTTATTTGTCCCTCCTCATCTAGAATGGCCCAAAGCAGATTCCTGAATCTGCCATGAAACCATGTTTCCCTCCAACAAAAATGAGATTAGGTTGTGACTGCTGATTATCTCCCTGAGTTAAGACTTAAAACAAGTGAAATTTGACTCCCAAATACTTTAATAGATTTTTTTTTTTTTGGACCCAGGCTGCAAGACAGAAATGGAGTAAGAAAAGATTTCAGTTTATTGACGGAAACTGGTGAATTCTATTTTTTATAATAAATTTATTTTTTATTGGTGTTCAGTTTTCCAACATACAGAATAACACCCAGTGCTCATCCCGTCGAGTGCCCCCCTCAGTGCCCGTCACCCATTCACCCCCACCCCCCGCCCTCCTCCCCTTCCACACCCCTAGTTTGTTTCCCAGAGTTAGGAGTCTTTATAAACTGGTGAATTCTAATTCCAACTTGCTGAGGGGCAGTGTTTAGAAAAGACAAAACAATAAACTTGGGACAGAAGACAGGAATTTGCATATCTGCTCTAGTTTGTGTAACCCTCATTATAAAATGGAAATAGTATTTACACCCTTATGGGGTTTTTTTTAGAATCAGAGTGTGCATGACAGTGCTTTTTATATGTAGACATAAGAAAGGAGCTAGCTGCTTGTAGCTCTATTTTATGACCTTTTATTTTCATCAGCATCATCAACTACTGTTTATTTGATGCACAACTGCTGTGCAGGGAGCAAGCACTATAAGAAGCTAGGAATATGGGAATCCTTGATTAGCATCGTATGCTCTGTATGTTACCTTGCAGAGTAAGTGAACAGAACATCAATGTTCCCATGACAGCCTTTGTGGATTTAAAACAAGTCCATCAGGGAGCAGTTCATCTGTCTACTTCCCTTTCTCCCATGCCCATAAGTCCTATATTCATACAAAGTGAAGTATGTGCTTGGAAGTTATAAGGAGACAATCTAGTATATTAGGGGGAGAAAATAATGGTTTAGTGCATTACAGACGTTTAGCTCAGCCACTTGGGCAAGTGACTTAACCTCTCTAAGCCTCAGTTTCTGTTTCTATGAAGTGGGAATGGTAGTAGCTCCCTTCAGATTGTTGTAAGGATTAAGTGAGAAAATGAATGTAATGCACTTGAGCACAGAGCATGGGACACAGCAAATGCTCAATAAATACTAACTATAACAATATAACTACTAGCACTAGAAAGAATTTAGACATGTCCAAACTTGGCTTCTGATTCCTAATCCAAGTACAACAAATGCAGTTGTGAGTAGCAGAAAAGAAAAAGTTCCTGTCCACAGCTTTATAAGCTTGTATTCACCTGGTTGTAAAAAAAAAAAAAAAAAAAAAAAAAAAAAAAAAAATGACTTGGTTATTCGCTAGATAGAAGGACATTTGGCTTCCAGTTTGTGGGAAAGCTTTTCCTCTCTCACCCCAGTTCCACCCTGCATCAGCTCAACAGTCAGTCCCCAGATGCAGAGTTAAGGAGCTTGGGACAACTTCAGAGTAACACGCCACCACTCCACCTTTTCACAGGAGTCATTAAAGGAAGACAGTATGGGTCTCTTCGTGTTTCTGTGACAAGGTCCATAAGCTGCTGCTTCTCCCACAAAACAGTCCAGGGAGTAAATAAATAGAGCCAATACTGGTGTGGCAACCACACTTTCAGATCTGGTTCCTGGCACACTTTGATGAGCAAATACTATGACAGTGAAAAGGCATGCTATAGCCCTCTCACTACATTAAACCCAGGACAAAAAGATACGGCATGGCTTTTAAACTCCATGAGCATCTTTGTGATACAACTGATTAGCATATTTGGCTGTTAAAAAGTTGGTGGTTTGAACCTTTCCAGGGATGGTCTTGTCTCCCAACTAATTTCTAGGTGGGGAAAATATTCCAGAATTAGATAGTGATGATGCACTGAAATGCAACTGAATTGTACACATAAAATAGTGGACTTTATGTTATCTGTATTACTACAATAAAAATAAAACTCCAACAGATGCATTGAAGGATGCATTTTCCAAACTTCATTGTAAGGAGTATTGTATTTGTATTTTTCTTCCTGACATGTATACCTACCATGTAGTATGCCCTGATACCTGAATACCTATATGTTATATCAGCTTTTAAAAAAATGTCTGGGGAGGGAGGTCCCACTGTTTAGCATTTTGGCATCACCTAGGAACATATAACTCATCCACATCCCTGTTTTGGCTTGGTTTAAGTACTGTATTAATTATATAAGCACATAAATTCTCTTGCAAGACTCTTTGGCCCTAGCACATATTTGCTTAGTCTAGAAAATTCTCCCATGCAAACGGCAGGATAAGAATGAGATGTGTGTCTGCCTTCTCCAAAGGCATTGTATAGCATTCTTAATAAACGGGCAATAGGAGAAAGAAAGGGTCTGTAATGAGTACAACAACCAGTTCCTGAGATTCTTCTTTTAGCCATTGCAACTTGCCAGCACAGGACTCAGGACTCTGAGTTCTTTGAGATAAAGTCATGATTGTTTTTTTATAAAGCAAAGATCACAAAAGGTAGCAAGTCTTTAAGACCTACATAAGCTCTGAGTACAAAAGAGAGAAGGGGAGTTGGGAAGGACTCACAAAAGAGACGATGTCTGCCAGGTAGTCCTTGAGGCAGAAGGTGGTGAATACATTCCATGGAGAGGCTTCAGCGAAAGTCAAAAAGCTTCGTGCTGGTCAAGGCTGGCCTTCATGAGCAAGGAAGGATGACCTTGTGCACCAACGTGGAGGAAAGTGCTTCCTGGGCAAGTTTGTTTTTTCACTCCAGCCAGCAGATTTCAGCGGATCCTGCTATACCATGTCTTTCCAGAAATATGAAGGCTTGTAAAAGATAAGCAAGCCTATGATGACCACTGCGACCAGGATCAGGGAGAAGAGGATCATGAGGAAGATGTAGGTGGTGTGGGAGAGAGGCGTGGAATACGGCTGCTCGGCTGGGATCATGTTGGTCAGGTTCAGCATGTAGCCCAGAGTCCACCCGACATTGCTGCTTTGGATCTGCAAACAGTAGGAAAGGCTGTTGCTTCGGGTCTGAGGTTTTTTTTTTTTTTAATTTTTTTTTAATTTTTATTTACTTATGATAGAGAGGGAGGGAGAGAGAGAGAGAGAGAGAGAGAGGGAGGCAGAGACACAAGCAGAGGGAGAAGCAGGCTCCATGCACCGGGAGCCCGATGTGGGATTCGATCCCGGGTCTCAAGGATCGCGCCCTGGGCCAAAGGCAGGCGCCAAACCGCTGCGCCCCCCAGGGATCCCGGGGTCTGAGGATTAAATGAGCTTTCCCGCAACCCTATCCGGAACACTTAGCAACAGAAGGTGGAGAGCACCGTGTTCCGTTCTCTAAATGGATTACTTTTACATTCTCAGCTGGGAATACGGTTGTGGGGAAAATGGAGCTGGAGCAAGTGATTAAGGAGGGTTTGGAGTCTTACTGCTCTACTCCTGAAATTTAGAGAGGACTTTGGTGAATAACTTCCCAATTCTCCTGCCTCTACATAGGAAAACGTTTGGAGATTTTCATTCCTCTTTTGTTGTTTGAATGTGGAAGGAAGAGTGTGGAAGGCAGAAAAGGACAGAGAAGCAGGCAAAGGATAAGAGAATTATGATTGTCCCTGGCCTCTTACATCTATGTCAGGCCCAGGAATCTCACCCTTCTGTACCAGGATGCCCTTATCATTTCATGAGGGAAGATTGGGGAAGACTCCCAGCAAATCGGTGTTATTTTATGGAAGTTGAAAGACTGTTGAAAGACTGTACATATATGTGAAAAACACATATGTGAAAATTTATTATTCATAGACTATAGGCTATAGACTAGTCTATGAATAATAAATAATTTTGAAAATGTTTTTATTACATGAGTTGTGCATGCTCATAGTAGAAAAATTAGGACGTACAGATAATCCTAAAAAAGAAAAAAAACAGCTATATTTCACCACTCAGAAGTTGCTCCTGTTATCTTTTTATGACCTGTCTTTCCAGTCTTCTCTGTGCATTTTTTTCTTACATAGCATGGAATTAAGTTATGTGTAGAATTATTCACTTAACAGTACCTTTCTAAATATCTTATGTCTCAAGGGATCATCACTAGCATGAAATGCTTTTTTTAAATAGATTATTGTATGATTCTTTTTTTTTTAAGATTTTATTTATTCACGACAGACAGAGAAAGAGAGAGAGGCAGAGACACAGGCAGAGGGAGAAGCAGGCTCCACACAGGGAGCCCGACGCGGGATTCAGTCCTGGGACTCCAGGATCGCGCTCTGGGCCAAAAGCAGGTGCCAAACCGCTAAGCCACCCAGGGATCCCACATGAAATGCTTTCTATGTTTATTTTTACTTACTTTATCCAATTATTTATAAATCCTAGGAATGGAGTAATTGGATAAAATGACTTGCATATTTTAAGACTTTTAGCACGCATTGTCAAAACAGTCTCCCCAAAGGTTGTGCCAGTTTACGTTCCAGCCAGTTTCCATGTGGAGATGCTCCTGTCCCCTAAACCTTTACCAGTACTGGCAATTAACAGTTGGTTAAAGGTCCACGTCCCTTTATGGGGGACAGGAATCTTACCTGACTACATGTATCAAGGAAAGCTCCAGAGTTAGAGGAGTTACCACCTACCGTGTAGAAATATTGGACCATTCACTGAAGTCCAAAGAATAGAAATCACTTGTAAATTTGATATAGACATATCCTTCAGACAAAATAAATTGTGATAAAATGAAAGGAAGATTAGGAGTTAAATCAAGGAAAAGATTTGCATTTGAATCAGCAAGGTCAATATTGACTAGTGTGAATCCTTTAGGCTGCTACAGCCCTCTGCCTCAATGTTTTGCCTTGCTGGAAGACACCATATTTAATAAATGGAATAAACTTTTTCCCATTAGTGGGTATGGGTTTAAAGGGCAGAAAAGTACTGCTCTTGATGTTTTTCATGCAGGAAAAGCTGCATTTTTCATGCAGCTTATCAATATATTTCTCTATGCCTGGATCCCTGCAGGTGGCGCTGTGGTAAGGCTCCTGCTAAACCTGACACCCCCACCCCCACCCCCCCATTCACAGTCACTCATCTCTTCCTTTTTGCTAAGCTTTCAGATTAGGCAACCTTGAAGCTACAACCAGCAAGGCCTTCAGCCTTTATGAGAAGCCAAGATAGTCATTTCCAGATTCATGGAAGGGGCCTTTGGGATGGATGTTGAAGTCAGCAAACGATCACTGAAGCTACTGTAATACTGTTACATTTAATATCACACTGTTTGCTTTACAAGGAGTTAGTCACTGTTTTATGAGCAGAAAGGAGAGGCTGAGAATGCAGGTCGCTCCCCTTACATAGGATATCCTTCACCAGCTGGTCAACATAGGAGGGCTTGACACAAAATGTCAGCTTGGGTTAGAGATGAAATGGTAGAAAAGGACATCACGCTGACTCCAACCTCTTTCAAGCCCAAAGCTGCCTCAGTCACCCAATCTCCCCACAACCCAACAAGTACTCCAATTACCTTGCCCATGAAATGAATATTCTTCCAGGAATCCGCTGTGAAATGATAGCTACTCAGGAGAGAGAGGATGTAGGTTCCAGAAAAGCAGTATTCACTTAAGTATTTCTCCTTCACGTCACCAAAATATGTCTTCAGCTGGAAGTGAAGTGAAGGAAATATCACACACATACAGCAGGCACCGCTCCATGGCTCTCTTTACGGTTAGATTTGATCAAGACAGGAGAAAGGCCCAGCTCATCCAGGCCCAGGTGCTGGCTTCTCCAGTGAGCTCTGGGAGTGGTGCTGCACTCCTTCAGTGGGTGCAGGGCTTCTAGTTTAGGGTGTTAAGGAAACTTTTCCTCCACTGGATTCTGTGGGATATTAACAAGTGCTCCAGGAAAACAGTGGTTTCTGTGGTCTCGGAGGTTCAAAGCATGGACTTTCAGTATACTGTTTCACCTCTCTGAAACTTGCATTTCACAGTCACATTAGCATTTTTAAAAACTGAAAAATCTTGCATGAAAGAAATCCATCAGTCTTTTCTATGCTCTTGACCAGAGTCTAAGTTCAGAGTCTCTGAAGGAACTAGTGCATCTGAAGCATCTTAAGGCAAGAGTGTCATAAAAAGCCTTGCCACTCAGTTTAGTACCTGGACTAGCAACATTGGGGCCTCCCAGGAGCTTGTTAGTCCTCACCCAGAACTATCAGTGCAGAATGTGCTATTTAATGTGATCCTCAGGTGATCACATGCACAGTAAAGTTTGAGAAACACAGATCTACAACATAGTTTAGGAGGCATTTTGCTCAGGACTATTAACAGTGCCAACATCTCACCTTCTGTCCTCAGCCCTTACTTGACTTCTTTTTTTGCTAATGAATCATGCAAAGGGGTCTTCTTGAGTCCTTCATGTGTTTGCTCACCCTGCTCCCAAATGAAGGGCTGCCTACTGACCCTTACCCTTATCTCTTCTCCTGTTGTAAAATATAAGCCCAGATGCTCCCAGCTTGCTCTGCTCCTCTCTGGCCCTCAGAGAACAACAGGCCAGAACATCTCTAACTCAGCCCAGAGTTGTCTGTAGCCCTATTCCTCAGGCCTTCAAACAGGCATTTCCTTCTGGGCACCCTGGGCAGAGGGAGAACTACTATTTGTTAAGCATATATCAAGTACTAGGAATCATGCCAGATGTTTCATATGTAGGACCTCCTGGCTACCTGCCCACCCATCACCACCACCACCACACTTTTGCCCAGATTTCTCTCTCTTCCTAAGGAACACCCCCATCTCTGAACCCCCTAACAACCAGCTGGTTTCTGTTTCTCACTTGGTTTCTGCCAGCCCCCAGTCTCTGGAAAGCTAATTCCACACCTAGCCGGCTTTGTCCTGCTCTGATGTAATTCTCTGAATGACCCAACTTGGAACTTGTCTTTTTATCACAGTCCTAGGAATGACTCTTTGATCAATTCCTCTGCATGTGAGGTTCTCCCAAGACCTTGGTGTAACATCAGTACCTACCCAGATCCCTATCCCCTTCTTACGGTAACTGCACTCTGTTTTTCCTTCATGGAAAGACTTCTACCATTTTTTTTTAAGATTCTATTTATTTATTCATGAGAGACACACACACAGAGAGGCAGAGGGAGAAGCAGGCTCCATGCAGGGAGCCCAACAGGAGACTCCATTCCAGGTCTCCAGGATCACACCCTGGGCTGAAGATGGCGCTAAACTGCTGAGCCACCCAGGCTGCCCAACTTCTCTCATTTGATGTAGTCTCAGCAGGCCCATCAAACAAAAACTGCTCTGGAATTCCAGGAATCCACTAGGGCCAGACTTGAAACTGCTGTAACCCATAGGTCCTTAAAAGTTGGCCTATCCCTTGGGGGAATGCCATTTTGGTCTAACTTCCCTGAATTCAATAACATTCAATAACAATTCAATAACCCCCTCCTCCTTCTGGAAAGATGTACATTCCCATGCCATCTAATCTTCTGAGGATTAATTATAATAGTAGCCAAAAAATGTGGAAGCCAAAGGCATCTACCTGGTTCATCAGTCCAGATCTAATCATGATAATACTTGTGGACTCAATACTATGTGCTCTCCAAATCGGGGGGGGGGGGGGCATGCCCACCTGGGGAGCTCCTACCATTCTTTACAACTTGGTTCAAGAAATCTGTTCCTTAATGGTTTGCCTTTCTCCCACACACACTGCTTTCTCTGCCTCTCTCTCCTCTCTCCTTTCTATTCCCAGGGCAGTGGGACAGTACCAGCTTCTCTCCTCCTCACCCGTTTCCCCTTACCACTTCCCCCACATGAAGCAGTATGGCAAGTCTTCAAGAATGGGATGCATTTCTCTAGAAAGGGTAAAAGTCCATGAGGTTAAATGTCAGAACCCAGAGTATATGGAGAAATCCTAGTTAGTGTATACACAGAATCTTATAGCACTGTTCTTGTAGACCAGATCTTGAATGCATATATTTTCTGAGTGCAGAAGTGATTATTCTGGTTGTCAAAATTAGAGGGTTCCCAGCCCTCTAATTAACCTATCAGAAGACAAGCATGAAGTGTCCCCTTCACTCACTTTCCTAACCTCTCCTCCCAAGGGACCCAAGGACTGGGGGCACTCCCAAGGATTTGGAGGACATCAATAGGTGTAGTTTGCATTTTACTTCTCTTGCCAAAGCAGGGACGGGCAGCATGATATATGTACAAAGCATCTAGCTTACTTTTCAGCACATAATATACGCTTAACAATTGTCAGTTCTCTCTAGGCCAAAGGTGTCTAGAAGGGACATTCCCAAACTCAAGTTACACAGGAATAGTAGGAAAAGAGTTGCCCTGTAAGAGCATACTCAAGACCTATGCTGCATTCCATATGGACAGACAATGCATTTGGGAAAAACGAACCCAGGGTTGTAACACCCTCCTCAACATTGAGGCTCTGGGTGAGGGTCTAGGTCTTAGCCTGCAAAAGATTTCCAGATTTCTCCCAGGTGCAGGCCTTAATGAGTCTACTTCCAGGACCTCTAGCCAGCTCCTCATGTGGCTTATCTGAGCAGACCTATAGGTCTGTGTGTAGGCATTGCCATCCTAATGTAACCAATGAAATTAAAAAAAAAAAAAAAGGATCGAACTTCAGTCTGAACAAGAAGTAATTTTTTTCTAAGGATGTCTGGGTTGCTCAATCAGTTAAGCGTCTTGACTCTTGATTTTAGCTCAGGTCTTGATCTCAGAGTCATGGGTTTGAGCCCTGCATTGGGTGCCACGATGGGTGTGAAGCCCACTTTAAAAAAAAAGAAGAATTTCTTCCAAAAAGAAGTTTAAATCTACCTCCTTCACAGGTATACATTGGGGTTGTTTCAAGTTGCCTTAACTCCAAGATGCTCACCTTCCTCCACAGATCACTATGAGCTGCACAAAGGCTCCCTGGAGTGTAGTAAACTGTCAAGTGTTGAGGCATTTCAAGGGTCTCTTTCAGGAAGCCCTGAATCCCTTTCCTTCCTGTTCTCAGACAAAATACGGAGGGAGAAGTCCACGCCTCACGCCTCATGCTCTTGTACAACCTTCCTTCCTCTCTGTCAGTGCCAAGGAGACAAACATCCATTTCTAGTTCATTACACTCCCTCAGAATGAAAGTACCATTCACATGTGCAACCCTGTCACCTTAAAGCCACTGCTATTTCAAACTACCCCTAGCTGATCTTTTATGATTAAAGTCCATACCTCTCTCCTCCCTGGAAACTTTCATCAGGCAGTACTAGATCTTGAATGACTCAGTGCCTCGGACAAGAAAAAATTTGTGCCTCAAATTTGTGATAAGTAGGATATACCTGGGACTTGCCACAGGGGTGTTTAATTTTTAGCAGATTTTGTCAATCGCCGGTCTTCCTTGCTAATAAAACTCGGACTTGGGGGTTGGAGAGAGGGATGTGCAACAGTGTACCCAGCCCCAGAGAGTAGCTCAGACTGGATCTAAGGCTCTACGCCAGTCCTAAAATCCTGCACCTGCTTTCCCAGCCTGTCCCTGCTAATGAAAGGTAAGAGAAAGATTGCTAAGGAGCTTCTGGGGTAGGTTTTATACTTTCTTGTAGAATGGAACAGATGGATCTGGCTCTACCCTTCTTCTGACCTTGAACATAAGTAATCTCTGAAGCCACATCTTGTGTCCATGAAGAAAATAGGCAGAACACCACAACTGGAGAAATGATGGCTGAGACAGAGTGGCTGCTGACCCCAGGCCAGCAGCTCCCGACTGCCAGACTCGGTATCAGGTGAGAAAAGTACGACCGTTTTTGCTTAAGCCACGGTCTGCTCAGTTATCAAGAAATGCTGATGCACTCACTGCTAACCTAGCGCGCCCTCTGGGCTTCTTTAACATGTTGGCTGGTCTCCGTCCAGTTAGCAGGACTTGAAGAGCAGAATCACAGCCTTTGTGCCCCCAAGGGCGCAGGGCAATACGAAACAGCTGCTGTGTCTCATCACTTACCTCCTCCCAAGGCTGAGAGCAGAACTTTCCCATCGTGTCAATCACCTTTTCCTGAGAGGTGGTTTCCTCTAATGTAAGGTTCAGAAAATCCATCACATAGTAGTAAGCCGAAAATGCCTGTAAGAGAAGATGTGGTTTTGCACTGCATCCGCCACGGAGGGATACTGACTCACCCTTCAGAAGGCCACACTCCTGAAGGTGCCTGGAAATCTCTGTTGGGTAAATGAATGAACCAAGTAATATTCCAGACCCAAAAGTTGTTTCCTTCCTGGAAGAGGAAGGAATTGTGCCTGTTCCTTTACTGCTGACATGCATTTCTGAGCCACCTGGTAACTAAGTGTCTCTATGATTTTAATGGAAGAGTCAGGAAGAAAGAAAAATGAGGGAGAAGAAAAGAGAGAGGAAGAGGTTAAAAAACCCTATCTTTTAAAAACTGTGTATTACAGATGAGCTTTTAATAAATAAAAACTGGGAATTTCTATACAAGGATATTAAAAGTTATCTCTAGGGACGCCTGGGTGGCTCAGTGGTTGAGCATCTACCTTCAGCTCAGGTCGTGACCCCTAGGGTCCTGGGATCAAGACCCACGTCTGGCTCCCCACAGGGAGCCTGCTTCTCCCTCTACCAGTGTCTCTGTGTCTCTCATGAATAAATAAATAAAAATCTTTAAAAGTTATCTCTGGATGGCAATTGTGTTTTTTCCCTTTTAATTTCTGTTTTTTTGGCCTATTTCTATTATGTACATGTACTGCTTCTTTTAAATAGTCAACCTTTATCTAACAATTTGTTGAAGTCTATTTTGAACTAAGCACAACTGAAATTTTTTTAAATCATTATGATCACATGAGAAATACAGAAAAAGAGTACAAATGAGTAAAAAGGAAAATATTCTATTAAAATTCACAGAATAAGTGCTTGGAAGAGTTTTCTACAATACTGAGCTCCATGTCTTCATTTTCTACTCCTTCTCACCTTGCAGTGGAACTTTTGTACTCCTTCTCCACTAACCTACCAATTCCAGTGGCCACTTAGAAAACAATTTGATCAGATTACTCCTCTACATAAAGCCTTCAGTGACTCCTAGTTAAAGTCCAAACTCTACCGGGCCTCTCAAAGGCAGACATGTTCCAACCCTTCCCACCATATCAATACCACCTCCTATCCCTGCCCACCTGCACAAACCCCACCCCAGGCCTTTCGTCACCGCCAAGCTTTTCCTCCCCTGGGGTTGCACACTTGCTATTCCCTCTGTTGCAATTCCCTTCACTTTGACTCAGAGAGGTTTTTCTAATCATCCACCCGGTTAGGACACTGTGTTATTCCCTTTCACCCGACTCTGCTTCTTTCTTCCCTGTGGTTGCCACGATCTAATTGGCTTTTGTTTGTGTTTCTGGTCTTTTATCTGTCTGCCCTCTAGAACGCCAGTTCCATGATGGCAAAGATCACATTGCCTTGTTCTCGGCTGAATCTACTGCACTAGCATAGCACTTGGCACATGGAAGAGCTGTATAAATGTGTAAGTGGCAGAAAACTGCTCTCTCTGGTTCCTAGAGCACTGCCTAGAATGTAAGAGACACTGGCTGGATCTCTGTTGACTGAGAAACTGGATAAATCCAGAGCCCGGATAGCTATGATGTGCATAGCTAATACTTGGAAATGTTCCCCCCTATTAATTAAAATTATTCAGAGTATATTCCTCTAGTGAACTTATTGTGGGACAGGAGGGAGAGGAGGACTTTTTAGGGTTTACTTTTAAGTTTTTAATTTTTGTTGTGTAAGAACATTTAACATGAGACCTACCCTCTTAAATTTTTAAATGTACAGTACAGTATGTTAACTATAAGGACAGTGTTGTACAGCTCTAGAACTTAATTATCTTAAATAACTGAAACTTTATACTTTAATGAGTGTACAACAATAACTTTAATTATTTAGCAACTCCCCATTCCTTCCCCCTTTAGCCACCATTCTATTCACTGAACACATGGGATTTGCATATGTCTTTAAATTTCTTACATCAGCGTTTTGTAGTTTTCAGTGTACAAGTCTTTCTCCACCTTAGTTAAGATTATTGCTGAGTATTTTATTCCTTTTGATGTTATTGTAAATGGGATTGTTTTCCAAGTTTCCTTTTCTTTTTAAAAAATTATTTATTCGTTAGAGACGGAGAGAGAAGCAGAGGGAAAAGCAGGCTCCCTGTACGGAGCCTGATGTGGGACTTGTTCCCAGGGGTCCGGATCACAAAGGCAGACACTCAACCACTGAGCCACCCAGGCCCCCCTCCTAAGTTTCCTTTTCAGGTAGCTCATTGTTAATCTATAGAAATACAACTGATTTTCAGATGTAGATTTTGTACTCTGCAACTTTACTAAATGCATTGATTAGTTCTAATGGGTTTCTTATTTTTCTTTTTTTTTTAATTGAAGTATAGTTGACACACAATTTTACTTTAGTTTCAGGTGTACAACATAGTGATTCAACGCATCTGTACGTTATGCTATACCTGCCATAAGTATAGCTACCATCCGTCACCATACAACACTATTACAATACCATTGGTTATATTCCCTACGCTTACTATAACTTTTGTCCCTGTGGCTTACTCATTTCATAACTAAAGCCTGTATCTCCCATTCCCATTCCCCATTTTACCCATTCCCCCACTCTCCCTCCTCTCTGGCAACCACCAGTTTGTTGTCTGTATTGACGGGCCTAACAGGGTTCTTTTGCTATGTATGTGGACTTTAGGGTTTTCTCTATAAACAGAGACAATTTTACTTCTTTCTTTCTGATGTAGATGCCTTTTATTTCTTCTTGCCTAATTGCTTGGTGAGTTCTTCCAGTACTATGCTGAATAGAACTGGTGAGGGTTGGCATCCCTGCCTGGTTCTTGATCGCAGAGGAAAAACTTACAGTTCTTACTGCTGAGTTGATGTTAGCTTTGTGTTTTTACATATGGCTTTTATTGTGTTGATGCAGTTTCTATTTCTACCTTGTTGAAACTTGTTATAAATGAGTGTTCAATTTTGTCAAATGCTTTTTCTGCATTGATTAGGATAATCATGTGGTTTTCATCCTTCATTCTGTTAGTTTGGTGTATTACATGAATTGATTTTTGTATGTGGAGCCATCATTGCTTCCCAGGGATAAATCTCACTTAGTCATGGTATATGATCCTTCTAATGGGCTGTTGAATTCAGTTTGCCGGTCTTCTGTTGAGGATTTTGGTTGTTCCAAAGGGTGTTCTTTCATTTCCACATACTTGTGAATTTTCCAGTTTCCTTCTGTTATTGATTTCTGCTTTTATTCTACTGTGTTAGAAGAGATATCTGCTATAATTTCAGTCTTCTTAAATTGTTGAGACTTGTTTTGTGACCTAAGATGTGATCTGTCTTGGAGAATATTCTATGTGCACTTGAGAAGAGTGTATATTCTGCTGCTCTTGGGTGGAATGTTTATATTTGTCTGGTAGGTCTATTTGGTCAATAGCGTGGTTCAAATCTGCAATTATTCTATCCACTGTTGACAGTGAGGCACTCATCAAGTCTCCTACCACCATGGCATTGCTGTCTCTTCCTCCCATCAGTTCTGTGTTTGCTTCACAGACTCAGATGCTCTGATTTGGGATAAGTATATACATAATTAATGTATCTTCCTGGTAAATTAACCCTTTATCATTATATAATGTCTTTCTTGGTCTCTGGTGACAATTTATGACTTAAAGTATCCTTTGATATAAATATGACCAGCTTTGTTTTCTTGTGGTTGGTACTTGCATGGAATAGCTTTTTCCATCACTTCACTTTTGGCCTCTGTGAGTCAGTGGAATATTACTCAGCCATCAGAAAGGATGAATATCTACCATTTACATTGATGTGGATGGAACTGGAGGGTATTATGCTGCGTGAAATAAGTCAGTTGGAAAAAAGACAACTATCATATGGTTTTACTCTTATGTGGAATGTAAGAAATAGTGAAAGGGACCATAAAGGAAGGGGAGAAACTGGGGAAAAATTAGAGAGGAAGACAAACCACAAGAGACTCTTAACTCTGGGAAACAAAGGATTGCAGAAGGGGAGGTAGGTGGGGGGATGGGATAACTGGAAGGCAGGCATTAAGGAGGGCACAAGATGAGATGAGCACTGGGTGTTAGACTATATGTTGGCTAATTGAGTTTCTTAAATCTAAAGTGAGTTTCTTGTGGAACATATAGTTGGATCTTTAGAGTTTCTGTATAGTTTGACTTTTTAAATAATGAGCATATCTTAATTTTTATAATAAATCTTTCTTTAAATTGTTACATTTCAAAAGACTTTCTGATATTACTCTGATATTACTCTCTGATATTTCTCATTCTACCAGCAAAGGGCATATGGGTTAAGTACCTAGAAATTCTCTTGCTTTTTCTAAGTGTGACATGTGCTTTTTAAAGAAATAAAAATTATTTTTTAAAGATTTTATTTATTCATGAGAGACACAGAGGGAGAGGCAGAGACACAGGCAGAGGGAGAAGCGGGCTCCATGCAAGGAGCCTGATGTGGGACTCAATCCTGGGACCCAGGATCACGCCCTGAGCCAAAGGCAGATGCTCAACCTCTGAGCCATCTAGGCACCCCATAAAAATTATTTTTAAAAACATTAACAAACAGAAAATTTTTGTAGGCAGATATAGCAAAATATTGAGCCTTCTGTGGGATACAGAGCTTGTCAGCAGGAACTCCTGGCCTATGCCACTGCCTACCCCCAAAGCTCTGCATGCCATGGACTCTTGAAAATTTTCCTCTGACCTATAGAAGTTTCCCTTTAGCATCTCAGAATTCTGCTCTTATTTATTTTTCAACATATAAAAGTTGCCCTCTTCTTTTCCTTCAGAATATATATATATATAATTTTTTTAAAAAAATTCTGGCTTACTCAAAGGTAACATGTTTATTGTATAGAATTTAATTATTACAAGTTAAAGTAAGTTTCCCTTCTTCAAACCATTCCCTAGAGAAAACCACTTTTAATAATTTAGTGCTTAATCCTTGCATCAAATATATGTAAAATATTAAAATACATTTATATATTTTTACCTAAATATGATCATACTAAACACATTGTCTTATAATCCAACT